GTCATGCATTTTTATGCTAAAAGGCACAAAGCAAACCTGCCTTCGGTAAAGCTTTGTAGCTTTGTTCCCATCAGAAGCTCGGACTGCAAACAATAGGACCTGTGTGACTCAGTTGCAGCAAGTTACTAAAGAGTGACCAAAACAGCACACCAGGATGGGAGATGAAATCGCTCACATCCTCTGTGTGTTTTGTCTCTTTCCATAAATGCGGCAGAACTAGTGGAATATTTCAACCATCATGGGTTTGCTACTTAGCAGGGGGAGAATCCAGCTTTTCACTAAACACAGTAAATATAGTATGGAAGCTCAAAAAAACCAAAATGGTTTGGACATGATCCTGATTGGAGGAACTCCATGAAAATGGATTCCAACTGCTTATAAATGAGCAAGGGGGTGGGGGTGTGCTGGTTTTCAAGACAGCATGGCAGAGAAACATTAATGCCGATACCCAGCTAGCACCTATGAGACGACAATGATTTGCTGCCACACCAAACGTAAAACTACTCAGAAGTTGAAATCTATTTATACAGCCCGTGGAAATGTTCTGAATATTAAGGACCAGGCCAGGAAACAAACTCTTTAATTCATGACCTAATACTTGCTTTCCAGAGCAAAAGCCTGACTTGGCCCCTCTCCACCCAGCCTATACATCTCTCCATGCGACGTAGACTTTATGGAGCCAGGCATGATCTGTTCATTGCAGAGGCCTGATTCTCCCTAAGCACTGATATCAATATCATACATTTCAAATACAAGGGAGGCCTGGGCAGGCTTAATCCCCCGGGCCCAAGTAAATCGAGTGTGGTCTCTTGGGAGGCTGTTGGCATACGGCAAAAAGACAGTGTTACTGTATATGTTTTTACATGGTTAGCAAAATGGGTCCCCATCAAAGACTGAGAAAACAGCCATGGTGAGAAGAGAGGAATGAGGTCACTCTAGGTTTCTGTCTGACCCTTGAAGACAATCCAATCTTGGCTGTCATCTGACAGTGTTCTATTTAGTTTGATAGATACAATTACATCTATCTGGCCAGATAATTACAGTGCTGTGCATCTTCCATGTAGTGGTGGCTTAGCAGAATTAAAAGCTATAAAATCCTTTTGTGTGTGCTAGGGGGCCTCTCTTTTTCTTCCTAATACAGATTTCCTCTCCCCCACCCCCCCCTGCCCAAGCAAAAGAAGGGGTAAAGAATTCCCTGTAAATTGTAGATTGTGATTCTGAAGTATCTGTAAACTTTCATATGAATCCATCAACTCTGTCCTAGATCAAGTTGCTACTCAGCCAACTTCTTTACGAAAGAAAATTGATTCTTGTTTACTTCTTTCAGTAAAGAGAATCATGATGAATTTTAATAGGATAACCCCCTACTGCTAGAAAATCTCCCTCCTTTGGTTATGGGAGCTTTGAAATTCGTAAATCAGAAATAAGCTTGGATTCCTTTTTAATATTTTTAGACAAAAATAAAAGATCTCTAGAAGTTTCAAGCTCAACCTTAATAATGGCTCAACAGCCTTATTTTTCTTATTTTGTTTTCATCACCCCAGTAAGTAGTACTTACTCTGATACTTTGCTAAAAGACCTTTTAATTGCAAATTGACCTTCAATTGTTAAAGGAATCGCCCACCACCAATAATATCTGATTTCTGGATGAAAATTAATATCATCCCTTACTATTTTAGCACACATAAGCATTTAATTGGGAATGGTGTATACTACTCAGTAAAATGAATATTCCTGGGAGGAAAAAAGGAGTATTTCTCTAAATGTTAATTCTCTTCATTGAAAACCATGAGAGCAAAAAGTTTATTATTTAGGACAGAGGTAAACACATTGCTATGGGAATACTCTAGTGTGCACGCCATAGCTTTCTTCAAGATATCATAATCTCTCATAAGTAGCAAACAGAAAATATACTGCACTGTTTGTTGGATCAAAAGATACTATGTATCTTGGGAAGATCATTTATTTTTTTTTTAATTTTTAGAGTTAAATTTATAACCTAACAGATTACTAATTTCTTCCACCACTTAGCATTTCAAGTCACTAATTAACTACTCCCATTAAATGTATGTTTTCCACACTTAAGGAACCAAAGAAACCTGCAGCCTCTGTCTATTCACCCAGGGATCACTTTCCTAGTGGTGAAATGAAACCAGTCTCTTTGTGGAATGGAGCGATCACTGGATGCCAGTAACACTACCCTACAATGTGTGGAGGGGGAAATGAAGGCTAGCTCATCCGAAGGAAACTACAGGGGAATTTTAGATCAGCAGAATGCAATTATCCAAGTTGGAATTGTTCCAGGACACCAAAAGCGAACTTTAAAGGTAGGTAAATTGAATAGCATTGCTCCTCAATTGCAGTGCAAGCAACCACATCCCTGACGAGACTCGTGCTTGTTCTCTTTGTCTTTGCTCTGTGAATACTAGTGTCCGAGGTCCTGGCCACTGTCATATGGAATCGAGTGTGTAGATCATCTGAGCAGAATGGAGGGCATCAGATCTAGTAACGAACACCCTCCCCTCTTCAGCTATCTAAAAGGTGAAAAAAGCCATTTTTAGAAGCCGTTTCAAGACACAATATATTTGTTGACCAGGTAGTAGAAAACTGGATTTCTCCACCCGCTTTTGCATCTAAATGGGACCATGTGACTGAGTTCTGTCTGGCCAATGGAATGTGAGCAGAAGTATATACTTGACCTCTAGCTGGGCCATAAAACAGACCAGTCGGTTTGTCGATTTCTCTGTCTCTGTTTCTCTCTTTCTTTCTCTCTCTCCTCTCTCTCTGTCTCTGTCTCTGTCTCTGTCTCTCTGTCTCTCTGTCTCTCTCTCTCTCTCTCTCTCTCTCACACACACACACACACACACACACGTGCATGGAAGTGAAGTGCCCACTTGGAAGCAAGTCCTCCTATTTAGAGAATAGCTGCCCAGAGGAGTCACTCAAGCTACATGAGACTGTACCATGAACAAGGGGTAAGACAAAACTTTTATTGTGGTAAGATTTGGGAATTTGTCTTACACTAACTAGAAATATCTTGACTACTATAATGTCCATTACAGAAATGGAATTCCCTTGAATTCTGGAGTTGAGAAAGTTTAAAAGTCACTCCACGAAGCAAGAATGAGGCAAAATGTACATTTTTGTGCTTTCCTTGTAAATGTAAAATTTATACTACTGTTCTGAGGGGGGAAATAAGCATAATATATTATACTGTAAGAACTTTGCATAATTATTATGCTTTGACCTAGCCATTCCACTTCTAAAATCTACCCTTAAGGAAAAATTCAAAACTAAGATTTTTGTTGCTCAGATCATTGGTTATGATAATCAAAATATTATACAGCCTTTCTTACCAACAATAGAAGGATAGTTATCAAAACTTTGGTTATATGCCTTTATCAGGAAATGCTATGCAATCATTAAAAATTGTATACGCAGTGAATATTTCAGTCACGGATTTATTCAAAGCTAATGTTTATTGAGCACCATTTTATGTTCTAGGACTTATGCTAGATGTTGGGGATATGGCAATGAGCAACACAGTAAAGTTAGTTCCCTACTCTTATAATGTGTTTATTTTTGGCGGTAAGACTACCATGGTGCAATAAACAAATCAATCAATAAAATGACCAATACTAGTAACAAACTGGGCAAATGTTTCACCGAGAGTTAAGTGAAAATTTCTAACATGCAGGACTATATATACACCACACGCACACATACACACCCCACATACAGAGTTAGAGAGAAAAAGTCCGTAGAGAAAAATAGTAAAATCCTAACATATGCATATGCAATATTTCTAATCATGAGCAACTCAAAGGCCATGAAACATATAAATGAGTTGCATTGCTGCTGTATGCATTTGAAATACCAAGTGTACAGCACCAGTGTGGAGAGATCGATTTACATAGGGTACAAATTAGGCAGCTAACTAGCAGCCACTTCTCAAAACGATTGCATTGTTACAAATCAAGGAACGTTCTGCAAAGTGATTTAAATTATCCAAAGGAAAACATCACTTTTAACAAATTTTTGAAAAGCTTAAAAATGGTGATGGGTTCCGATAGAAACTAGCTGCTAGCACTGATAATGGGAATGGAAGAACGTAAGTCTAGAGCAGTACTAGTATGATGGTTCTTGTGGAAGCTGGGGCCTGGAGATGGGTTCCTGCTCCCTCCCTCCCCATCCCTGCCCTGGAAGTAATACAAAGTAACCCGTGAAACTTTTTCAGCTTGTATCCAAAGAATGCAAAATTTACTCATTGGATGAAAAATTTAAGAATCACTAGCGCTCTGAAGTGGATGATTAAATTTCCCTCTACAATTTTACTCTGTTTTCAGGGGCAAATTTCTATGCTCCGGTAGGATAAGTTCATATGTCAATTTTTCAAGGGCTCAGTATGTTCACTCACAAATGTCGAATGTCTGTGCCTTCCTATCAGCAGTGATTGTTTCTTCTGGGTTGGGGAATTGGGGATTATTTTTGTTTTAGTCTTAAACTTCTGCTTTCTTAAATATTTCCTAAAGAAAGTATGGCTTGCTTTAAATGTTAAATAAAAACAAAAATTAATGCGTACAGGTATATACAAGCATAAAAGTATACGGTCATCACCTAATATTAGGACAACTTTTTAGCAGTGACTGAGATTTCTGCTTCGTCTAGAACACCACCTTGCACCTGCGTGGGTGGAAGTACCATCAATAGTATCACACTGTTGGCCATAATGATCCCAATTGCCATCACCTGGCAGGTGAGCTTAGTGATGCATTTGGGGATCATGCCACACTCTCAAAGACATAAATCACAAAGATGCTGAGTCCCCTGAAAGGCTGACCACCTCCCCAAAGACCATTCACATTTACCCATCCATCATTTATTAGAGCCCCACACATTCAGGTAAAGGCTGCAGAGCAGATAACATTTCAGAAGCCACATATTTCCACAGAATTGGAAAAGAAAACTTCTTCTAATGAATGTCAATGAAAAATCTCAGACATTATGCACAGGCAGGAGGGTCTGCAGTCCTGAATGTATCCCACCAGAACTAACTCTGTTGGCAGCAGTGGAGAGCTCTGAATCAGAAGGTTGGAAGGAATCTAAGTAAGACATCTAGTCCATCACCCTGCCTGCAGGCGATTTTCCAGGCAGATGGGTATTTATCCTGTTCTTAAAGCTCTCCGCTGATCTGAGGGAAAAAGACAAGAGTATTTATATCCATGATGTTTTCTTACCAAATGTGTAATATTTGCCACCTACACCATCTGCAGCAGTTCAGAATGTAGTAAGATTGAAAGTTAAACTCATTGATCTCAGGAAAGACAATGAAATGAAAATATTTTGCATGATATAACTTCCCTCAAAGCTTTTGATGAAGAATTCATACAATGGCGTCAGTAGTTTCGGGCAAAGAATTAAGCCTTTGCTTGGCAAATGACAATCATTGCGATGTTCAGACCTCAGGAAAAACTGCATTGTTATTGTTGCTTTTAACATGGTTCTGTGGAAGTTAAGTCCACGGTCATAGGCTTATTCTCTGGGCAGGTCATTTAGCGGTATTTTGTTCCATGGCTTTTAACCACAGCCACCTGTCTCTCAAATATACATCCTTCATCACAAACACTTTAAGAGAATATGAATAAATTATCAAGAGCTCATGTTTTTGAGGGGAGTGGGGCTCCTTTTTCTGTCTTTCCAGTTATGTGCATCATCATTTTTCTGCATGAAATAAACCTAATTCATTGTTTAATATTTGGATACAGACATGAAATTTAAAGATCTCCTGGCCAGATTTTATAAAGAACTACCCAAACCCCAATCCCTTAATCCTCTTATCCACATACCCAGTTTCTTCATATTTTGGAACTGGAGCTGTTTAAGACCTGCTTGCTGTTTAAGCAGGTCATTTTTCCTGACATGCCATATACTGACTGTCTAGCAACCTCTAGTGCTTTTGTTGCTGTGTGCCCAACCTCAGGTTTGTTCCTCTGATGTCTTTGTTCTTTAGCTAACATCACAAGTCAATATTTATGATTTGTCCTTGACATTTGCTGGTGAGAGATGCCACCTCCACCCAGACAGAAACCACAGCTGGCCCAGATATCTGTGGAAGAGCATAATCAGGGCCTTGACCATGAGTTAGATCTATAAGAAACACCACTCTGTGGATAATCCAATCACCAGCATCTATTCTTAGTTCAGGTGTCATATACATGGCTCTATCCTCAAACTTAAAAGTTTCTATAGGAAACCTTTTTCTCAAAAGCTAGTCCTTCTGGGAGTAAGTCAATAATTCAGAGCCTATGCTAGAATGACTGCAGGTCTTATTGAAGGAACCATAATTTCAAATGTAAGTCACTCAAAAGAATCAGTATTATAGGATTTATTCTCCCTACTACAGAAAGTTGGTGAAGATGGCCTAACTTATTTATGCAATTAGTATATATAAAATGATCAAACAAAATTTTGGCAACATTCTTCCACACATGAGTTAGCTTTCTTTCCCAATAAACAAATAAATAAATAAAATAATGGAGAATCAACTACACTAGTATAATAGAAAGAGAATCATCTTGGTAGTCTAGAGGTCAGATTTCAAACCATGTCCTGCTATTTGACACTTGTATGAAGCAGGTACAAACTTACTTACATATAACACATAGTTCTAGAACATTTCTAAAATAACCAAAATCTACCAAGCCCTGACCTTGTGCCAAACTGGGAATGCTCAGTAGATAAGGTAGAGTGAGCCAAAACAGATGAAATAGGGGCTGGGGCATTCTATGCTCAGTCAAGGCCAGTCCAAACTAGCATGAATATCTAAAATTTCTGATCAGGGGCGCCTGGGTGGCTTAGTTGGTTGAGAGTTGGATTTCGACTCAGATCATCATCTCATGGCTCTGCTCTTGAGTTCGAGCCCCATGTCTGTGCTGACAGCTCAGAGCCTGGAGCCTGATTTAGATTCTGTCTCCATCTCTCTCTGTCCTTCCCCCACTCACGCTCTGCCTCCCTCTCTCAAAAATAAATATTTAAAAAATAAGAATAAAATAAAATTTCTGATCAAACAGTGAAATACTACAGCACATTTTCTGAGGGAAAGTTATTCTCAGACTCTAGCAGTTGTTATTCAAAGAAGTGGTTGGACAAAATACTAAAAATAATCCAGTCCCTGTCCACTGGCTGGCCAGATCTAGTGAAAGGAGAAGGCGACAGGACCCAGCCAACTGGGTGGGAGACAAGTTAGCCTCTAGTCCCAGAGGGAAATGAGTAAGAGACCCAAGACCCAGGAATCAACCCATCACAGCTAGATTAGAAAATGAGTCACACCTGCAGGGGAATTGGTGGTTAGGCTAAGGCCTCCCTGATTCCCACAGCTGTTAGAGGATGTCATCTACTGAAATTCTGTGTGTGTACCGGTCAGTGCTAGGCAGTATCACCAACATACATCTCCTTCATTTCTTACAGAAACCCTCAGAGGTAGCCATTGCTATCAAAAAAATGCTCATGAACAAAGAGCTTTCTGGCTACATATATCGCCTGGAAGATGTTGCATGTTATCACCGCTTACCCTACCATTATCATACTCTTAAAGAATCATGGTGCACATCCAAAGCTCTGAGATGTCCTTGGGGCACCTGGGTGGCTAAGTCAGTTAAGTGGTCGGCTTCAGCTCAGGTCATTGTCCAGGGTACATGAGTATGAGCCCCATGTCAGGCTCTGAGCCTGCTTTCAATTCTGTGTCTCCCTCTCACCCTGCAACCTCCCTTTGTTTGCGTGTGCACTCTCTCTCTCTCTCTCTCTCAAAGATAAGTAAACATTAAAAAAAATTCAAAGCTCTGAGATATCCTGTATTAAAGAAACCATTTTCAATTGCTTATTAGCCCAGAATTTTCAATGAAACTACCTCCCTACCACTTTAACAAATATACTTATATATAGTTTTTTCTTTCAGAAACATTTACAGTCTTCTTTCTGATCTAGTGTTCTAAGGAGAAGACTCTGAAAATTTCTGAGAAATGCATGCAAGTTGTAACACAAAACATTAAACAAATGTAAAATATTATTATTATAACCAATTTGTGCTGGTGAAAATGAGTAAGATGGTGGTGTTGGAAGCCGTTAATGGAATAGTGATGCTTAAGTATGGATCAGTATAGATCTACCAACACAACAAATATCTTGTATATCTAAAGGTCTAAATTTCTGGCACAACATAGGCCACAGAACGAGCATATATTTAGGGTTCATAAAAAATATACAAAGTGAATGAATTAATAAGTCAATGAGAGAGAGAGTAGAAACATCATCACATATTCCATCCCTGAAGAACATATTTTCCTTTGAAGGTGACAATAAATTGTTTTCACACTATGCCCAAATGGTGGCATAGTTCTACCAGAATGATCCAACCATCACAATTATAAACCCACAGGGTATTTGCTCTAGAAAGTGTCTTTTTCTTGCTGGCCCCTTCCCAGCAAAGAATATAGTCCTCACAGGGACTTTCTACTGCCTCTCCATTCCCAAATGAATAACCAAACTTGTACCATTGCCCCTTTAGAAGACTTAGGCTCTGAGAAGTTGGGCGTATACATTTGTTGGAGGTGGGAGAGGAAGAAAGATGGTCTCACAAAAAAATTATAGTTAAAATTTTTAAAAATGTTTGAATGAGTTTCTCAGAGCCTTTAGTACACTAATGAACACCGCAGTTTCCTACAAACAAGTTGAGAAGGAGTGGACATACTATAAAGCAGTTTTTAAGCTGTAAATTTTCCACAGAACTTTATGTTCATGGAACATTTGGGGAGAAATGCTGTGCTGGCTTCTTGAACTTTCCTTACTGTGCTTGGCTAGAGCTATCTTGAGGAATTATTGTAAAGGAAGACATGAGAAAACATGAGTGGTATTCCCCAGAATAGTCATATAGAGCAGTGCTTCAAAAATCATGTTCCTAATAGCCTGCAGGTATTAGGCAAACATTATCATCCTCATTTTGTGAATGGAGAAACTGAGCTTCACAAGAGTTGGGTGATGTGTCTTCAGCCAAACAGCCAAATGATGCCTTCCGCCCCCAAATCCAAAAAGCTTTCTCCTGGGCCACTGCATCTGGCCCCTGGACAGCTCTCACCCCATCACTACATCATGACCTACCATGATGTCACATCCACCCAGGAATCAATTTTGCCTGAGAGGCTCTCTGAAGAAACCAAGTGGGAGCCTCACTTGGTTTGAATTTAATTCTTTTGAGGGCTGTGATCAGAAAACGTGTGCTATCCAATTTTTCCCACACATGCCACTTCTTAGCTGGCCTATCACTGGGGGCCTGTGCAGTGTGGTCTGTTTGAGGCCAATAATCATATCACCATTGTAATGAGTGGCAAATCCTATGTAATTTACACATTAAAAGGAGGCTGAGATGCATGGAAAAACCCAGCCCCCATTTGTCTAATGAAATTAAAGCTCTTAGCCAAATACTGGTGCTGAAAAGAGATGTTTGGGAAGGGCTCTCCCGGGCTCTCTCGCCCCTGCCTCTGAAGAAGAGGGTGAGTGTTCTTTATTCATGATCCCGCCTCTACCTAAATCACTCCCACAATGGGACCTCTAAACCAAGGGGCCCTGTCTGGGAGCATGATTTACACATAGCTGAGGCCAGGCGGGGCTTACAAAGGCATTATGACTAGTTATTTTCAATGACAATTGAAGGGAAAAAGAAAGCAGCAAAGATGTTCTGTGGCTTTGCAGGCAAAGCACTAAACTGTCCCCACCTCCTTCCCCAAGAGGCATAAAAGAAAGTTTGGGCCATACCTGATAAAGCAATTATTTTAAGATATTTTTCTTATTCAGGGGTAACTGGACAGCATCATAAAACAAGTGTGAATAACACAGTTCTTGGAGCAACCGCACTGAGCTGAAGCTCTGGAACAAAACATGGGTCCCATGATAAGGCAAGAAGAGATGGCTGGCTCTAGCATTCAACGGCTGTCCAAATTCTTATGCGTTCCCTAAGACTGAAATTCTCCCTTAAGTCTGGGAACCCGCCATGTTGAAGTGAGATGACACAAAACAACTCACATATAATTGGATGTCAGTCTGAAAGTCAAGAAGCTACCATCATGAAACCAGTTAGTCTATAGAAGGCTCTTGTTGGGTCCATGAATGGCAAATACATGGAAATGCTATAAAGTATTTGGATTTAAGAATATCAATGGAAACATCAAGGCAATAATCTATGCAAAAGAAGAGCCAGAGTACATAGGAAGACATCTAATACTTTAACCAACTTCTCAGAAGTAAATGCATTTGACAAAAAGAAAGAAGGACTCACACACTCATGTTCGCACGTACATGCCTGACTCAGAAGAAGAGGTGTGTTAAGAAGAATTGTCCTCCATTTTCCTCACCCTGCTAAAATGTTTCAAAATCTAGACACTGTCTGATTCCAACCTTGTTTCCTACCAGCCTTCTCCATTCACTATTCTCTAACTACATCTTTCTTTCTTTTCCTCAATCACATCAAATGTCTGACATTTTCCCTATAATATCCTTCCCTAAGATCCTCATACAACTAGCTCTTTCTCATCCAAGTATATTTTTATGGGTTCTAATTTGTTTTTGTTTTTTTTTAATTTCTGAGAGATAGAGATAGTGTGATCAGGGGAGGGTCAGAGAGAGAGGGAGACACAGAATCCAAAACAGGCTCCAGGCTTTGAGCTAGCTGTCAGCACAGAGCCCGACGCGGGGCTTGAACCCACTAACCATGAGATCAGGACCTGAGCCGAAGTCGGCCGCTCAACCGACTGAGCCACTTAGGTGCCCCTATTTTTGTGGGTTCTAAACACATCAGGCCAAATATATTAAAATGCAGTCATCTTAAATAGAATTTATATAAAATGAGAACAGTTGAGTTTCAGTTGATTAGTAACAATTGACACTTCGTATATATTCAAATAAATATTGTTGATTTAAATTCTGCAGTATTCATTTCTTTCTTATTCTTTTTAAAATTTTTTAAACATTTATTTGTCCTTGAGAGACAGAGAGAGACAGAGCACGAGTTGGAGAGGAGTAGAGAGAGCGAGAGACACAGAACCTGAAACAGGCTGCAGGCTTTGAGCTGTCAGCAGAGTCTGATGCTGGGCTCAAACCCATGAACTGTGAGATCATGACCAGAGCCAGTCAGATGCTTAACCAACTGAGCTGCCCAGCCACTCCTTTTTTTTTTTTCTTTTTAAGTAGACTCTACGCCCAGCATGGGACTTGAACTCATGACCCTCAGGCCAAGAGTTGCATGTTCTACGGATTGAGCCATCCAGGTGCCTCTTTGCAGTATTCTTTTCATAAATTATTGACAATAATGTTTTTCCAGGTTTGAAATACTTTCATAAACTCTTAACTCCTAGACATAGACATAATGCCTACGTTAACCAATAGATGAAATAATTCTGCTCTTACCATTTACATTCAGGCCAAATAGCATTTCTTACAAACAAAAGAGGTGTTTTCTACACTACCCCTTCCAAAATATCCACCCACTTCATGTTCAGTGACTTTCTACCATTCATTGTTCTTTTTATCACCTGAAGGTACCCTGTGTTTACAGTTTACCACCTGTTTCCTATTGCTTGAATGTAAGCTTAATGACATCAGAGATACAGATGTCTTCATCACTGCATCTCCAGTGCCTAGAATAATGCCTGGCATATAGTAGGTATTCAATAAATAACTATTAAATGAATGAATGATTGTATGACTGGATGCATTCACACATCCTAGGTTAATTCCACACTAATACCGATTTAATGTAATAATACTTATTTAAATTTGCATTTATATAGGACCCCTAACTAAACTGTTTTCAACAGTAACAATTCAAGATGCCATTTTCAAAAGGTGTTGTAGGGTAGGAGGTGGGGCTGTGGTTCAGTTTTAAGTTTTAAACACAAACCAAAGAAATGCTTCCATCAGGGGAGTTGTAAAGTCCCATTCTGTATCTGATTGGAATTTTGGTTCTCATACAGAAGAGAAAGCCAACAGAGAAAACATGACCAAGCTCTCAAGGTAGATGGGCAGACAACATAACCAGAACTTAAATTTATGGAGACTATTGGAAGGAAGCAAAACTTCCCATTAAAATAGATCTATAAAATCTTGGGATTAAAGTCTATAGTTTCCTAAGTGCACTAATGAACTCCAAGCTTAGCAACAAAAACTTTAAAGTATAGATCAGATATCTTGGTACAGACTGTGGGACAGAGAATGTAGAACTCACTCATAAAGCTCCAGACCAGAGAAGCATGGAACAGAACCATTCAGCCTAATGGGAGTAACATAACATCCATTCAGAGTAATGGGAGGCAAATATCAGAGCCCATGGAGGTGGGGATTTACTTACAACTTCCTTTACAGAGATTGCATTTTAATTATCTTCCACATATCACTTTGCTTTTTTAAAAACCTTTAGTTAAAAACATCTCCTGGTATTGTGATAGACAGAGACCAGGGCCAAATGAATCTTAGAAAATTGTTAAGAGTTTTAATTCTGGGATCCAGAGTAGACTAAGCCAACCATTGCATAATTTGGACTTAAATAGTTTTTGTGTTGTATGTTGGCTATCTTATTGGATTTTCTCAGTAACTTTATTATGTAGGTAAAAAATATATTGTCCCTGTTTTGTGGTGAAGAAACAGATGTTCAGGGAGGTTATATACCTATTTTAGTTAGAATAGGTTAGGATTATGCTACCGTAACAACTAATCCCAAAAGAAACAAACCATGTTTGTTTCTTCATTATACAAAGTCACACAGGCTAGGTACCTCTTCATGGCAGCTGTCCTCTTTACCATGGTTTAGCGAAACACATGATTTCCATTTAGTGGCTCTGCCACCACAGCTCTCTGTAAGTTGGGAAAGAAAGAATTGGAGAGTTACGTAGGAGTGTTTCATTGACTTAACCCAGAGGTGACACACATAATCTCTGTATATAATTCATTGGCCAGAACTAGTCACACAATCCTATTTAAACACAAGGTTGCTGGAACTTATAGTTTTCCATGTTCCCGAGAAAGAAAAATCTGATATTGAATTTGTCTCTATCATAGTGTCTAAGATCAAACAGAAATAAAATGAAAGAGCTAAGATTTGGCCATAATCTGATAACAACCCAGTACTCTTTCCATGACTCTGTCAAAGCTAGAAAATAAAGATTATGTGGGGTTTTTTTTTTTTCTGTTTCTGTTTCCAGGACTCAGCTTATACCTGACATATGGAAGATACTCAAAATAGTTCCTATGATACATGGAAGGAAGGCAAAGGGGGAGGGAAAGAGGAAGTAGAGAGGGAGGAAGGGAGAAAGTACAGACGATCTTTATTATTTCTTAATTTTATGATTGACTGATTCTTTGATGGATGGTAAAGAACAAATATGATATAGCCACAATTTTCCACCCTTACAATGTCTTTTCACAGTGCTAAAATAAAAAAATAAAAGTGTAGAGACCAGTATAGCCACCTTCAAGTTTTGCCAAATTCACACTGCAAATACCTCCATCTATGAAAGAGAGAGAGAAAAAAAAGATGAAGAAAAGAGAAAAAAGGTTAAGAAAAAAGATTAGATGACTCTCATGGGGAGGAAATAGAGGCAAAAGGAATTCATTTGGAATGTAAATTGCTGTATAATATGCCTTGAGTTCTTTGCCAGAGAGGTGACATGTAAAGTAAATGCTACAGCAAAATTATTTAATAATAAGAGTACTGGATTTCTTCCACGCAGTGCAATTTACAGTAGAATCAAAGGACTATGCTTTTACACAGCCCTTACAGGAAAAGTAACACGTGGGCAAGCAGAAATAAATTAAGTATCTGCCATTGATTGTCATGGATAGCACCAGCTTATTGAGCTAATACTTTATTAGTGTGCTATAGCTTGGATGATGATGGTCTTTTTATTGTTTTTGTGGTAACTCTTTATTTTAAGTATCTTATCATTATGAATTCATTTAGTATTGATTACAATAGCGCTGATCATAAAGAATTAATTTGGCCTTACCATGAATATCATATGCACTCTATAAGAGTTCGGCTGTAATTCAAAATTAATTAATATGGTAAAATTTTATTGGTCTTGCAATCCTTTTAAACGAATCTAAGGTATTTTTTTTCAGCAGGTAGAACCTAACAGAAAATCTACCTAAGGTTTTCTTCTTTGGAAGACAGCTTCATTTAATGATAAATGGAAAATCTGTCTTAAAAAAAATTCTTTGTGTCTTAAAATGTTTGTGATTCCAGCCCCAGAATTCAGGGTTACCAAAAGACTAAAGTTTTGAGTCCTAGAAAAATGATCATGTCTGCTGGGTGTTCCCACTTGCTTGGCATGGCTAGGGTGAGCAGCATAATTGAGAGTCTATCTCTCTTCAATATCTTCTGTCTCTCACCAAAGATGATTTGTCCCTGTCAGAGTGAAGGGCTCCCAGCAAAGGAACTCCATTTACTTATAATGATATTGAATTACCAGAAGGTACAATTCAGGACATACTTCTAGCAAGCTGAGATTGTTGAACGTAGGTATTAGTGGGAATCTGGTGAGGTTCAGGGTCTAAATCAAATGGCACGTGTCTGGAATGCCTGTCTGTGGCCTTCAGTTAAAATGCACTCAGCTGCCTTCTGTTGTCACTGCTGTTCTGAAAATAATGATGAGGGCATGCGTAGACCTATTTGGACCTGATGCTACAGATGGCTGACCTTACACATGTCTGGACCAGGGTGTCATTCAAGGACTGCTACTAAAAGACACCAATGTCCTCTCTCCATCCCCTCGGTGCTGAGAAAATCTTTGAGGCTTCTCATCATCCCTGTTAAAATGTTAATGTCACTTAGACCCGACAGAATAATCCATTTACCCACCATGAATTTATCATTAAGCAACCCAACATATAGAATCACTCTGACTAAATAAAATATTAGAATATTAATGAAGAGGTGGGTTGTGAGACACTGTCTGGAGCAAGGGAGGCAGCCCAATAGGCAGCCACTATGGAACGCCACTCGGGTAGGCCCTAGAGTCCTAGGGACCAGAAAACATCCTGAGAAGAGTCAAAGGAGCACACAGAACTGAAATGGAATCTTGAAGACAAAATTTTGGCCAAGGACAGTGCAAGATCAGCCAATTAGCAGGCCAGTGAGGAACTAGGGTGGCTTAGCCCAGGTGGAGTCAGCAGAGAGCAGATGGGTGCTAGGAAACTTCCAGAGCCCTGGCAATAGCTAAGAGCTCCCTGATCTCAGTGGATACGCTAATGAAAAAAAATGAAATTAGAATACAAAGTAGAAAGTCAGCAGCAAAACTGATCCGGAAGCGGATATAGGCCTGTGACCCTAGCGCCTTAGTATATTGTCAGAGTCTAGAGCCAAAGGAGCAGGTCCGGAGAGGCCAGGACAACTTTAAACTCATAGTTGAGGTGTCCATGGCATCCCCAAAGGAGGGAGCCTGTTGCTAGGTACACTGAAGATGCCAAATACAAAGAGACCAGCGTCCCAGAGGGACCAAGGATTTCGGGAATATGACTAAATCTGCTTAACTCAAAGCATCGTTAGCGATATTAAAAATTGGTTTTCTCTTATCAAATATATAGCACTTGTACCTCTCAGAGGGACCCTTAGCGGAAATCCAGCCTCATTGTCACAGCCAGTTTCGGACGGCTCTTCCAAGCTGCCATCCCTCACTGTACAAGCTCTCCCTTCTTCTAACTGCCGCTGTGCTTTCTCTTGGAGAAATCATAAAAATAGAAAGAAGCCACACCTTTCAGCGGCCAAACTCTTTCTTACGGTCGTGCAGACATATAATTATCACCCTTGTCTTAGGTAGTAAATACCAGAAGTTTTTCAGTTGGTAAAAACAAAGATTGTTCTACTCCTTCTGTCTGATACCAAAAAGGTATATAAAAGTCTATTCTTATCTTTCTAATTACTGATATTTTCTTTGCGTCCGTTAATAACACACTGCAAATTAAATAACACAGCTGCTGAGCAGAAGATTCTGAAGTCCAGAATTCGCCTGTCCTACCCGATTACTTAAAGGTTTCAGGAAAAGGGAAGACTAAAGAGAACCGAAGTAATCGGGTTGTTAATACCTTACATTAGCATGTCTTTTGATTATAGGTGTTTCAGGGTGTTTTCCGGTGGCCATGATGCCCTCCTTCCTGAGAAACACAAAGTTCAGCACCTCGGAGTGACTATGTGAGCATATGCCTTCGCCCTTAAAAATTAGCGGGGAATGTCACGGAGGTAAGAGGGTATTCTTTATTTGTGCTATGGGAAGCAATAATGGAGATTTACAGTTCTTCAATACAGCATAGGATTTCCCAGAATGCTGACTAACGGAACCACTCGGAGGTTTATTGATGTAGCGCTGTATTGAAAACACAGGTTTAGTAATAAATAGTTTCATGAGCGTCTAAGAGGCAAATGGAGAGAGCAAGTGATCCCACGGCACGGAAAACAGGAAGACCGTGTGAAAAAAGCGGGTGGCTTGAGAAATGTGACCAGGAGATTAACTACACGGATCAGCTTAGAAACTTAAGCATTCGGGGAAAACATTCAAGTGGAGTCTATGCTAACAGAGCCTTTTCCTTCTGTTTGCAGGTTTTAATAGCCACAAATGTCTCTTAGCATTTCCCTCCCTTAGGAAGACAATATCAGACTGCTGGCGTTGATTTCTTAAAATTATACTGGCAAAAAGATAAACAAAGCTCAAGATATAGAAAGATATTTTACGCTGAAAAAAAAAAAAAACACCCCACACTGAAACCAAATCCTCATATTTCTTGGCTCACAGTAGCAGGCTGACTAGTTACCCAAAATGAGCTTACTGCAAAATCACTCTGTTCTCACCACAGGCACAATTTACCAACTGGGTGCAACAGACACCGGGCTGGCTCCTGAACTTCTCTCCTCCAATTAAGCTGCACAACCTGTTACCATTTTGCCAATGGACTCTATTTACTTAGGTTCTGCACAACTTGCCAAGTGCTCGCTCTGTGGAATTCCCAGCAAAGAGAAAGGAACGATTGGGGGAAATTTTTGTTAACATCCTTTCTTTTAACTTTCCATAGCAGAGGGGAATGCATCAACGTGGAGCAGATGTGCTGAGACCAAATGCTCCCTTCCTCATGATTACAGTTGGTTATACCTGTGGATAGGCAAGCTAATTCTGCTGCAAATGTGCAAGAGAGGGTAGTACTGACGTACAATGTGTGGTCCTGGAGGCTTTGTTCCCACATAATAGGGTGCTTCGTTTCACAAGACCTGGCACGTTGAGAAGAAAACTGAAGGAAAACAGCCCCATGCAGTTGGAATCATGGGCTATCTCTGTGTGGCTCAGAGAGTGCCCTAGTTCTCGGCAATGTTGACATAAATATCATGGAATTTATTATTTGGAGTTGGAAAATAATGATTCCTTCTACCTAATGTGCTCAGCGACTCTGCACCCGATTGTTTTCTGCCATTTGAGAATGCCCGAGGAGGTCATTAAAACTACGTGTATCAATATTAAACCTTTACAAATAGTTGACTAAATGAGCTGTTATTATCTTTGTTTCTGACAATAGTGTACCTTTTTACTTCATTTATCAGTAACTAGGTGTAGTCGATTGCACTCTGGTATTGATCCCAATATCTATACCCGTCGCAGACTACCTTTCCACAAGGTCATCGTAAGGTCGAGTTATGATCAATATGAATTGACTGTCTGCAAATAAATTTATGTAGCTGACATTATTGCAAGTAATACCTTTTTCAGATTAAGGTGGACTATTTCATGAAGCCTATGTGTTTGAAACATTAATGGTAACCTCCACCAACTCTGCATAATGAACTAGCCTCACCATAATTTGCAAGTCCTCTT